CAATGCACACCAAAAGTACAAACAGGGACACCATCCATGCGCAACATGGCACTGTTAGTACTCTGATATTTTTAAGCTGTTGATAGAATCAGCCTCTCTGAGAGCTACCACAGAGTTTGGAAAACCTAACTACCAGCCGGCCTCAGAACCATAAAACTGAGTTTTAGAGCTGTACCCTCATTTGGAGATCATAGAATGAGTTGCCTAGTCATAAAAATAGAAACACAAGCAAAACCCATGTATCGAGTCAAGAAGATCCAGCGTTCAACATCCTAAACTGGAAACAATGTATTAAAAATACATCTGCGCCAGCCAAGTAAAATAAAATTAAAATAAAATTTTAAATTTTATTTTACTTGGTTGGCGCAGATAAAATAAAATTATTTTATAAAATAAAATAATTTTATTTAACGAAAAATAAAATTCCTTGTAAACATTAAAAATCTATTCAAAACGTTCGTTAAAGTTTTTTAGTAATACGAGTGATTGTGCTTATCAACCGCTTTATGAAAATAAATAAAAATAAATAAATAAAAAAATATTATATAAAATCGCAAGTAAAAATATAAGCTATTGCATAGTTTTTAATCGTACATTATTAAAATTTTCAGTTTATTACTCGCTGACTTTTTAAAAAGAAAAAATAATTATTTGAAAAACTTTAAATTACTTATTTGAGAAAGTCAAATATTAGCATATTTTATAATCTTTTTTAAATGTTTAGTTATGTTTTTTATTCGTTTAGTAGACAAAACGTGTCAAACGTCGAGAAAATAAACCAATGTTTTACATTTTAAAAAACGAAACATTCCAAAACATCTTTAAATAATAACATTTCTACATTAATGATTTAAAGTAGTTTTGCGGTAATTAAGTAAATTGGTGCAGTTAATGTCGATAAATATGAAAAGCAAATAAAAAGAATTTAATGACGTCAAAAATCACGTCGTGCTTATGCGTCGCGCAGTTTTTATTCATCACAAGGCCTTTTTTTTTATTTATTAGATAAATAGATACAGAGTACAAAATTTTAAAAAATTTACAAAAATGATTCAAATACTATTAATATTTAGGTACAACTACATGGTATTAAAAAAATAAGACAAAAAAAATTATTCATAAATTTAGACACACGACATATTAGGAAGCGTAATTTATGAACCAATCAAAATTTTGTGTATCCTTAATAGCTTTAATACGACTAAGAACTCTTCTAGGCATAGACTCAACAAAATTTTTGCACCTCGCTTCTGGGACCCTATACCAGATCTCCTTAAGGATGTAGTATTTATAGAAGTAACATAAAGTTATATTAGTTTATAAAGTATAATACATAATATAATTTCAGTATAATACTGTATATATATTTTCTAGTTATGTGCATTTACGACAGCATGTATAATAAGTTAAATTTCATAAAAATCTGTTAGTTTAAATTGAGTTTATTTATTTGTTTTATGAAATATTTGATATTATGTTTTTTTATAAAATATTTTGATATTTGTTTAGAAATCTTTCAAATCTGATTGAAGAAATCAAGCAATACAGATGTATATCGGATAGTCCTTGTAGGGCTCATAAAGAGCTACCTAAAAAGCAAGAGGCATGGAATAGAATAAGTTTGAAATTAAGCATCAAGGGCATGTGAATTTTATAATTATCGTTTATCAATTATTTGTCACAAATATTCATTAAATTATTCATACCATTATGAAAACATTATTAAATTAAAATATGAGTGTTATGATACTTATACTTGGTTATAAGTTTTATTAATTTCATTAATATTTATACATGTTTTCATATTTATATATTTTATACATTCATACACATATTTTAATAGACTTTGTTTATTGTAACTAATTTTTTATTTAAAATGTTTCAGTTAAAGATGCTTAAGTGGAATGGAACAAGTTGAAAGAAAATTATAGAAAGTGTATAAAGTGTCGGAAAAAAGCCAATCGATCAGACTCTTGTGCTAAAGTCCTGCCAACATGCCAGTACTTTTTTGAACTTAGATTTATAACAGATATAGTCACAACAGGACAACTACAAGCAACATTCCTACATCAGCCTTACCATCTCCACATTTGCTACCTCAAATTTTACCAGTGTCATCAATTCCTGATGCAAGTGTAGATAGTAACACAAATTTAATGTGCAGTGCTACTGATATACTAATAGTGCTACAACTCCTACCACTCAGACAGATAAAACTATACATAAAAAAAGAAAAAATGTCTAATGAGTAGAATAACTTATTATTAACGTCAATCGTGAAAGATTTAAAATCAACAAATACAGATGAAAAAGATCCTGACACATTATATTGTCTTAGTTTAGTAAACGAGTTTAAAGATTTGGCACCCAATAAAAAACGTTTAGCAAAAATTAAAATTTGCGAGCTATATTGTGCTTAGCAAGAAAATCAAATTTAAATTGTATCTTTTGGTTTTAAAAAGATGGCCATTTTTGTTATTTTTAATTTTTATTGCTATTTTTGTCTTTTATTTAGTTATTTCCCCCTATTTTTCTTTTTTCAGATTGCTTTAATAATATTAAATAATAATTTAATAACTTAGTTGGTTTAATAAAGTTGGTTTAAGTAAATAATTAAAGTAACTTGAAAAAATCAAGCACTTAACTGTTTAGAGAAGTTTTTTTAAAAAGCAAATCATTAAACTACATTTTAATTTTGATCGAAGATGTTAGATACACTTGTTACGTGATTGCTTTGGAACCTGACCAGGACCAACTAAAAAAAATTCTTTAAAGTTTTCTCTCACTTGTTTTGCATCTTTAGAGTAATTATTGGAACACGAACGTATTTCTAAAGGTACAATTCCAAAGGCATCTTGGTCCGCATTGAAATTAAAATTTTCTTGGTCGAGTATTTCTGGAGGACAGTACTGATAAGAGCTGCCGAAGTTTTTATTATTCATTAAGTAATTTTGTAAAACAACAGAAGCTTTAGCAATATTTGTTACTAATTTTTCTGCAGCAATAATTGGTCTGCGAAAAATTCTAAATCTTGAAACTAAAATCCCCAATGTATTTTTGATGACTACAGGCTCACGTTTTTGAGAGGATTTGATTATATAAGGTGCAGTTTTCTTGAGGAGATTTTCAAACATAGTTGGACACATTCTAAAATATTTAATAAACAAAAAATGATCATGCAACTTATGTCTTTTATCAATGTGTGATATTCGCCCTTCTCTTTTCTTTCTTTATAAATTTTACGAATCCAGAACCTTTATTTTCGAATATTCCTTTGATAACGGTTTCGAAATAAAATAGTTTTTTTCGTTGTAGTACTTATACGCGTCATGTTTGTTACTATCTCGGAAAGCACGAAAATTAAGTGGAAATTAATCTTCGGAATTTTTCCGTTGAAGGAAGCGGAAAAGTTTCTGTTCCGTTCGTTCCGCGGAAAATTTCCTATAAGTGGAAATCCGCCTTAATACGCAAAATAAATAATACGTCATAACATTACCATAAGCGGAGTAAGCAAGTCTCGGAACATGAACTGTATGAAATGCTCAACTTATTATTGATTTACTAATTCAACCTGAACATTTGCAAACATTATTAAGTTCATCAATTAAAGATAAAATTCAAAGTTCCGAAAGTTTCACTTCACAAGAAGGTTTATCTTCGTTTAAAGTTTAAACATCTGTTGCTTTGGGCAGTAACAGTTTTTCCACGGAAGTTTTCCTATCAAAGGTTAGATTTATTTTTCTAAGCATTCTTAAAAAAAATTATATCAAATACTTTTTTTGAATAAATTGTATCAAAAAATTATACTTTTATTCAATTATTTACCATATTTTCAGATTAGAAAGTATCCATGTTTGTGGGATGCATCTCACCAGTCAAATAAATATAGAAGTGTTAGAATGAACGAGTGGAAAGAAATTTTCACATCTTTCAAAACAGAAAGTAAGTAAAAATAATTATTATAGGTTGTCGATAAACATTAGTTTTATATACATATACTTAAATGTTTATTTTTTTGTGTGTGTTTCAGTTGAAGTTTTGCAACAAAAATTAAAAAACCTAAAAGATACTTTAAAAAAATGCTTCGACAAACGTATTAAGATGACTAAAGCTGGTGCTAATGAAACAGCTTTACCTAAATGCAATAACTATGAAAAAATGTCGTTTTTACATGATAAGAACAACAATATTTCAACTCAAAACAATTTTGAATTAGAAGAAACTATAACTGGAAATGAAGACCAGATTACAACTCCAATTGCTGTAAAAGCCAAAAAAAGGAACATTATCAATGAGGTAGATAAAAAAAATAATCCCAGAACTTTAAAATTTTTGATAGCGAGCTAAAAAAAGTTATTACTGATAGTCAATGTGAAGACACATTACCAAAGTTTAGTACCGATGTTGAAAACTTTACCTCTTAAAAAAAAAAGAATTGCAAAAATTAAAATATCTCAATTGTTGTATGAGCTTGAGTTTAATAAAAAATGTGATTAAAAAATATTTTTTTTTTGTTATTTATTTTGTAAACAAAGAAAAATATCGGTTTTAAATTTAAAACTTTTAGTCATTTTGACTAGAAGTATTGTTTAATGACCATTGCCAATCAACTGCCCCATCAGTATTCAAATATTTTTTGAAGTTGTTTCTAATTTTTCGAACATCTTCAGAATGATTATTACAAGCAGAACTTGAAGTATCTTGTAATCCTTGTACATCGCCGATTTCTTTTCTTCACTCACCAGGTATTAATTCATTTTGATCATCCTGATCAATATAAGTATTTGGACAGTAATCATAATTAAGACTCTCCTTCCTTTTTGACATTAAAAAATAATGAAGTGCGACAACAGCTTTTGTTATAAGCACGACTTTTTTTGTCTGCAGTTATAGGTCTTCTGAAAATCCGAAATCTGGATGCAGCTATATTAAATGCATTCTCAACTATTCTCCTGACACGCGACAATCTGTAGTTAAATATTCGTTGTTTCTACGAAAGATTAGAATGGATAAGGTTTTATCATTTGAGGCTTTAAACCAAATGCATTATCTCCAACAAACACGTAGGGAAATATTGTTTCAGTACCATTTACTTTACATGCTTGAGGAATGTCAAGCAGATCATTTTCAATAGCATAACCAAGTTGACTATTTGCATATACACTACCGTCACTTTGTCTTCCACTATTTTCTATATCTGATAGTGAAAATTGATATTTTACATTGCACACAGCCAAAAGAACAATACTATGTGTCTTTTTGTAGTTATAAAACGATGAGCCAGAGCACCCAGGAGCTTGCATAACTACATGTTTTCCATTATTAGCACCTAAGCAATGGGGAAAATTCCATCTGTTCTCGAAGTTAGTGGCTATTTTTTTCAATTCTTTTTCAGAAGATGGTGGATCTATGTATTTCTTTTTAAAAAGTGATACCCATATGGCTCTACATGTTTCATTTATTATTCTTCCGACAACTGAAGGACTCATGCGGTAGCTGATAGCTATTGTTTTCTGTGCGTCACCGGTTACCAAAAAACGCACTGTAGCATAAAATCTTTCTCGAGCAGATATAGAATCTCTCATATGTGTAGATTTTTTTTTTAATCAACGGACACACCCAGACAATAGTTCTTCTAATGTATAAACAGTTCTTCTAATATATAAATATACATATATATATACATATATATATATATATATATATATATATATATATATATATATATATATATATATATATATATATATATATATATATATATATATGTATATATCTTATACTGCTGAGTTAGGTGAGCATGATGATGTCATACTCACCTAATGTCAAATAGCCTGCTGCCGGTTTGGTATGGGTCAGCAACATTTTCATTCATTATTCTTCATATAAATATGCGCATATAAATATGCTATAGTAGATATATATATATATATATATATATATATATATATATATATATACATACATATATATATATATATATATATATATATATATATATATATATATATATATATATATATATATATATATATATATATATATATATATATATATATATATATATATATATATATATATATAATATAAACTGATCTGACTGTTTTTGGTTATCATGATGATAATAATCCTAAAATAGCACCATATCTTCGCCTGCTCCTACGTTGAGGAAAAACTAGGAAGCGAAAGTTTTTCTAAGTAAAGTAACCACCTAAAACTTGGAAGTTTTAGGTGGTTACTTTCGCTTGAAACTTGTGAGAAAGTTGTGAGAAAGCAGCTAAGACAATTTGATCAGCCGTATAAAAATAAAAAGAGAGAAAATGTTTCATGCAAATCTGTAACCGAAAAGAAAGACTTAAACTCTTGTAAATTTACGCAAAAAATATCAGTGATGAAAAATGAACGGGCATATTTGTTGATTTTTAGTTTGCGATATGTTACCCAAAAATCAGAGTAATTTAACAAAAGTTTAATACCAGGGAATTCTAGAGCACTTGCTCCTGTTGAAATATTTAGTCCCCTCAGAGCAATTTCTGCTCTTCAAAAAAAAATTTTTCTGTCTACCAAATGAAGAACTTGAATTTCAAACATTTTTTAGCTATTGCAGGTTTTTTTTAAATTTAAGCTTGTTCCCTATATCTAGATAAAGCATCTAGCATTCAGATCATGTATACTACGGAAAATCATGTTATAATGTTTCTTCAAAAGCATGAGTTAACAATCTATGATCTTAGTCATGGCAGAGGTACTAATGTTTTTTGCCTTGAATCAGGGTGCTCAAATTTCAAATGATAAAGCAAATGTCCTTCAAAATCTGTTTAAGTATATACCTACTGTAAATATTGCATTTTATAAGAGTATTTTAAAATAATTTATTGTATTGTCAAAATATATATGTTTTATATGTCATGTTGTTAAATGAGTTTCTTACTGAAATGTTATATTTATAATGGACTAACCAGAGGTGCTGGTTAACTAATTATTCTTTATAATATCTTTTTATTGTGCAATGTATTTTAGATGTTATGCTTTTAGAACTTATAACTAAAGTTTTATTTCGTTGTGAAGATACTTTAGATAATATATTATTTGTTTAGATAATATATTATATGTTTATATTATTTGTTCACTAGTGTAAAATAAGATTTTTTTTCTAATAAAACAGATATGTACCTTACAGTACTTTAATTGCCAAAATATACAATCATGTTCCCACAATATATATAAAAATTACTAGTTTGTATTATATTTTTACAGAAACTGGAGATAAAACAAAATAACACTGTATTTCATAAAAGATAGTGTTACATTGTTCTATCTCCAAATCAGGGTGTAGTAATTCAGACACCTTTACTTTAAATATTTTAATACAATTTCTTTAAAACTGTTGTTGTCTGTGTAGGAAATTAATACAAATCGGTTTTGTTTGAGTTTTTTATGTTATTTGGTCTGCAGGTCCAATAACAACTTTAAACTTGATTTTCTCGGTTCGGAAAAACATAGAAATAGAACAAAATAATTCTAACTTCGCAATATGTCAGGTATTAAGAAGATGCATTTTAGTTTGTCGTTTAAACGATGAAATGCTTTTTAGGTCTTTAATATTTTTACTTTGAAAATGATTCCATATTGACCACGGTTTGTAATAAGAAAAATTGACTGCTGTGATTTAATTTTCCATAGGTGATAGTTGCACCTGATATTTGAAAGCAGCCCTGTGGGCACAAGACGTGTTTTAACTTATAAAATACGTTGAACACGTATTAATACGTGATTTATACGTTTTAGACACGTCTTGTACGCACTGTGAGATTATATGTTTCAAAAAATGATTTCAAAAAAATATCTGAAAAAATGCTTGGTAGCAGATTGTTCTTATACTTATACATAAAAGTTAACATCTGTAATTTGTTAAGTTTCTCAGTATGTAGAACCATCATGCTTTTCATCCCTAGGGCTTGGTTTACTAACTTATTTAAATAATTAGTTGCTTTGCATGCATAGTTTTGCAGGCTTTGCAGTTTTAGCAATTTTGTTTTATGGGTGCTGGCCCATACAATATTTGCGTACAAAGCTGACTATGTAGAAGACTAAAGTAAAGCATACTACATGAATAACTATCCAGAAAAGGTCTCGACTTATACAAAATACCTGTTACAGAGGACACCTAACAAAGGGTTATAATAAAAGAAGTATTTAACTTCCACCGATGGAATTTTTTTTTTTAATTTAATAAATTTTATAAATACTTAAGTTTGACGGCAAATACCAACAAGTATTCAAACAACTTCTTAAAATATTGCATGAGGAAATACAGATAAAAAAGTACAGGTAAAAAAGTAAAAAACTATCAGAAGCATGCAATGCACATAATACATTTTTTAAATCGTTTTTCAAACACGAAACCTTTATTTCAAGATAGGAACGTTTTAAACATTTACAAACTTAACATTTATATTACCTTATGTTTTATGTTTTTTTTTGTATGAATAACCCATTATTAAATGGTTTTAACAATCTACGTACCCTTAAAGCAAAAAATAGATATAGCTTACGAAATAATACTTCAACAAACCTTTATTTTGATCAAAGATCATTTTTGTATAATCAAGAGCACTTTTGGAATGAAATTGTTCAGCCCAATTTTGATTTGTCATTTTTTTTTCAAATAAGTTTTTAAGTTTTTAAAAATAAGTTAAAGCATTTTATTTTTTCAACTGATAATATAAAAAAATATTATTTAGATATAAATTTAAACCATTTGTTTTTTATTTCAGATTGTTATTTAGATTTAAACTACATGTGTTATATTTATTTATAATATAATACTTGTATTATATTATATTTTATATGGTTCTGGCGACATGATCATAACGTTCTTCCAGATTCCAAGTTTATATTATCCAACATCTAACCAGGGCTGTACATGGGCATTTGGTCGGCTGCGTCCTAGTATGTATGGCCGCCCTTCGAGGTAAAAAATATCAAAGAATGGAAAGACGCATTCAAAAAGCAACAAGACCTACCTTGATGTGTGCTGGAAGCATACAAGAAATGTGATGGTAATGTCTTCCATTTAATAAAATGTATTTTGCAACTGCTTTGCACCCTTCCTGTTATCGTTGCTTCGGGAGAACGCAATTTCTCGGTTTTAAAAAGGCTTAAAACTTGGTTAAGATTCAATATAGGACCAGAACAATTAAATGGCTTAGCTATGATGTATACTCATAGAGATTGCATCATAAATGTCGAAAAAATTATTGATAGTTTTGCATCTTCGAAAACTAGAAAGCTCAATTTTATATTGTAGTGTGTTAAATTTTTAAAAGTCTTTATTAAAAAAAGGCATATACTAAAGATATTATTTTTTTTTTTGTTGCACATTCAGAGAGGGCCAAATTTACCTATAGGCAGACAAGACTGCAGCCTATGTACCATGATTTAAGCGGGCTTGATTTTTAAATAGGGTATCGTGGAAAAAAAATTGTGGTATTTAGAAGTTTTTAGGGCCTCAAAAACATTTTCTGCCTTAAGCCCTTGAGGATATAAATTCGTCCTTTATTATAGACTAAATATTTATTTTCAACGTTTGATTTTTTCAAGATATTTATATACACATACATTCAATATATTTTTTAGCAAACTTTTCTAAAAACATTCTAAATAATCAAATAAAAAAGTGGTTTATCTGAAGAAAAAAAAAGCGGATTTTTTTTTTATTGGTCGAATACCCCCTCCCCTAGGACAATGACGTGGATGCGCCACTGGCTCTGACCACGTATGCATCATTGCAATAATTTGTTAAGTTGCTACTTTTTTTAGTTATTTAGGTCCTTCCAGAAGTTCTAATTGTTTATCACAGAACACTGAGAAACAACACTTAACCAGGTAGTTCCAACCTCATTCCTTATAAGGAATGAGGTTGGAACTACCTGGTTTTGTTGTTGTTTTTCAGTGCTCTGTGATAAAACCATTAGAACTTCTGGAAGTACCTAAATAACATGGGATTCTGGAAGGACCTAATACACATGCAGAACATCTAATTAAAATAAGTACTAATAACGATTTTAGTTCTCCGAACACAATCTATTGATGATTTTAAACTATTTAGTGTAATAGCTTTGAAGTCTTTTCTACCACTACGTAAAAAATCTTCATTTAGATCAAGTATAAGATGATTTAGATAATTTAACAAGGAAGTTCACGCCTCATTACCTACCAATCCATTGGTATACCAATAAATCATCAATAGATTGTGTTCGGAGAACTAAAATCATTATTAGAACTCATTTTAATTAGATGTTCTGCATGTGTTTTAGCGATAATCGGCTTGTTTACTCGAAATTTTTTGTTCCGTATATTCTTGTGTATATATTTTGCATAAAAAAAGTTGAGATTAGAAAACCGTGTATTACCTGCTTTAACACCGAACATCTGTTAAAATAGAATAACTAATAAACTAATACTTTTTCTAATATAATAAATCACTTCTTTTTTCTCAGGCATTTACGGCTAAATATTTTCCAGTTGTGACTAGACTTAATTGTTCTAGTTGCGAACCTTATATAAAAAATAATAGTATGAGGGCTCTTGAGCTTTAAACATTACTTCCCATCTTATGCAACGAGGAGAGGCCAGGGGCACTCTGTAACGACTTCTTCTGATACTAAAACATACAACACAATATCTTTTAGACAACTTTGTTCTTTATTTTTATTTTTATAAACTACTCCTTCTATGTTTTCTCTTCACTTCAATTTAACCAGATAATATTTATATTGCGAACCTTATATAGAACCCTTTATACAAAACGAATAACTCTACTAAAATGAAATACATTTTTAAACGAATAACTCCACTTAAACGGTATAAATCAGAATTTTATATAAATTAAGTATAAATTAAACATTATACGAATAATTCCACGAAAACGAAGTAAATTATATTTGAATATAAACTAAATATAAAACAAATAACTCCACTAATAGGTATACACTTAAAAGAAAAAAAAACAACAGAAAACTCCACAAATACGGTATAGATCTTAATTATATATTAAATAAAAATAAAAACGAATAGTAAATAGCTCCACTTAAACGGTATAAATTATAATTATATATAAATTAGGCGCAAACGAATATTTCCGGTTAAAGGGTATACATTATGAGTTAACATAAACTAATAAACTAATAGTTTCCATAAAACAATATTAACTAGAATTAGATATAAACTAAGTTTAATTTATTCGGTATATAACTAAGTAATTTTATACGGTATACGAGATACAAGTGGTCAGTGACTAGAATCTCCTTCGCTTTACTAACTGCTTTTACACTGGGCACCTGTTTAATTGTTTTGATACCTATTTATCTAACACTTACTCTAATAAAATTTTATTATTTTCTCTAAGGCTTTTACGGCTATATGTGCTCTTTAAAGAATCTGAAATTTTTCACCTGTATAACCTTGATTTCTTTCTAGACATCTTTCTAATTTTTTATATTTACCTTATGAAATTCTTATAGCTTTACTTATCTGTGTCCTATTTTTCATCTGAGGCTGACGAGTTCGTGTTGCATGAAGGATAATAGATTCTTTCTGTTAAAAATTAAAAATACAAAAAAAAAAAAAAAAAAAAATTAATTTTATAAAAATATATTTTTTTCGTAGTAAAAGCTATAATCGCGAAAGTTTTGCCAACTAACCCTAAAACCATTTTTGTTCAATAAACAGTCTATAATAGAAATAGTAAATCAGTTCTGACTGATTTAGTACTCCCATCAATTTTTTCATCAGTTTTTTGTTCATACGACTAACTAATTTTTTTGTAAAATAAAAAGGAAACGATTTTACAAAAGTTTCGTTTTTAGAAAAGTTCCAAAAGTTACGACAAAATGCTCGCTTTCAACTTGACTTTAATAGTTTATTTACTTTTTTATGAAAGATCTCTGTTTAATGACATTTATGTTACAGGAAAATATATAGACTAAATTAAATCAGTTAATATTTTTGAAAGTCTTACCACCGTTCCAAAAATATTTTTTTAGTGGTGTTTCCTCTAGTTATCCCTAATAAGGTAATACGCTTGTATGTAACTAGAACCGAGTGGTAGTAAAAATACGATACAATAAAATATATAATATAAGATTAACATACTTTTATACAAAATGCCCGCGAGATGCCTTGAACGCACATTTTTATCTATTTTTAAAAGTTATTTTTTATCATTTTTAGATGTTTTTAGATATTTTAATCGTATTTTAAAGATATAGCAAATTTTTTTTCGATATTCCTTATTGTTTTGGTACATGCTAGTTGTATAGACTAAGCATTGTTTACGTTTTCGGTTATCACAAAGTTGCGCATCCGCAAATCAACAAACAATTTCTTTTTTTCTTCTTTTTACAAACAAAATAATTTTACTTTAAGATGATTAACATGAATCATTTTGAAAAATGGGAGTTAGAAAGCGATTTAAAAGCTGCAAAGTCAAAGAGTGCAAGTGAGGTAAACATTAATTCTCTTCAACTATTTTGCCCATATACACACAAATATTTATTTTATATATTTATGGTTACATTAATTTCATATTATATTTACTACATCATCATTTGTTTAAAAATATTTTTTATACCTTATAACATAAGGCAATAATATATCTAGGCGTTAATAACTTAATAGCTAGACACTTGGCTAAAGACTTTTTTATTTAAAAAAAAAAAAAGTTAGAAAGAAGTGCAGAAAGTAGAACAGGGTTCCCACAGTCCTGGAAAGTCCTTGAATTTGACTTGTGTCCTGGAAAGTCCTGGAATTTTTCATTTTTTCTTTAAAATCCTGGAAATGTCCTGGAATTTTTTAAAGTCGAGGATTTAAATTTTTATTCTTTTTTTAAAGTAACATGGGCTACATTTTTACATATTTTAAGCTAAATTTTTAAGAGGTTAAATTTTATAGTTCTGGTTTATGAATAATATTATAATGGAGTGTATAATCCCTCTCATCAATGTAAACATTTATTGATTTAGATAAATTTTCCAAAATAAAAAGTATAGTACACAACTGGTTGCTTCTACATAATATATATGTAAAAATGCTTGACATGATCGAAATTATATGATTGATTGAGAATTTTTTGTATTTTTATTTTTAAATTTGTTAAATGTATACAGTGTAGTTTAAATTGCAGTCAGTTTTTAAAATTATGTTTAGATTTTTTCAAAATGTTTTTTCTTTTAGTATAATAGATTTAAAAAATGCCTAAGAATGAGTGTGTATTTCAAGAAAAATGGTTATATGATGATAAATTTAAATCCTGGGTTCGGAAGATAAACGAAACAATCGCTAAGTGCATCTATTGCTTAAGTATAATCAATGTTTCTAACATGGAAGAGACTGCATTAACATCGCATATGAAAGGCAAAAGGCATTTACAAACCTGTCGAGAAAACCATCAAATCATATTTATCACCTTTAACTTCCCCACCTCCTATTCTAGAAACTTGTTCTGAAGAATCAAGCAAATCAAAAACAATTGATCAATTGTTTATAGGATCTTTAACACTTGAAGCTGAGATACGCTGGGTTTTAAATACTGTTTATTCTAGGCATTCTATGAATACCTCATCAAATTCTGGAGAATTATTCAGAAAAATATTCCCTGATAGCAATATTGCAAAGACGTTTCAATGTGGTCGAACAAAGGCCGGATATGTGGCTACATATGGACTTGCTCCATATTTTCGAAGTGAGCTATTATCGACACTTTCAGCTGCTCCATATTACACTATTTAATTTGACGAATCACTTAATCAAATATTTCAAAAGGGACAAATGGATCTTTTAGTCAGGTTTTGGAATAAAAAATCTGGCAGCATTAATACTCGATACCTTTATTCAGAGTTTATGGGACGCTCCACTGCTGAAGATGTTTTATATTGTGTATCCGAAATTGACGAAGCTAAGTTTTTACAAGTGTGTTCCGATGGTCATAATGTAAACTTGTTATTTCTCAAAAATTTCAGTGAACAAAGGCAAGAGGAAGAGCTAAATCTTCTTATTGATATAGGAACATGTGGTCTTCACACCATTCACGGAAGCTTGAAAGCTGGTGCAAAAGCAAGTGGCTGGGAAATGAATAATACTTTGAAATTGATGTGGCAATTCTTACACGATTCACCAACACGGCGAGAAACTTATGAAAATATTGCTGAAACACTGGAATATCCATTACAGTTTTGTGGACACAGGTGGTGTGAAAATGAAAACTGTGCAGGAAAAGATGAATTTCTTCTTGATAATTACAAAAAATTTGTAACATACGTTAGTAGTCTAAAATTAAGCAAACTACCTGCTTTCAATAATAAAAGTTGGCAGAGACTAAAAGCTATGATATATGATCCAATTTTACCAGCAAAATTGAAATTTTTTGAAATGGTATCTGAGAAATTAAATGCTTTTCTAAAAGGTTTTCAAACAGATAAACCCATGGTAACCCATGGTACCATTTATGAGTACTATTCTTGGTGATATTATCGAAGACTTATTGAGCCCATTTATTCTTAAAGTTGTCTTAAAGAAATGCGATGCACTTAATCAGCTGCTTCAACTTGATCTAAGCAATAAGAATATTAAAAAACCTCCAGCAGACATTGATATTGGATTTGCTTCTCATTTAAAACTTGACCAAGCCAATCTTAGTTCTACCAATAACAGAGTAGTTGCATTTAAAAGTGAAGCTGGAGAATTTTTAGCAGTTTTGTTGGCACATCTTTTTGACAAGTCCCCATTAAAATTTTCCATTGTACGCTCTGCTATATCTGTAAATCCAATCCAAATGGCCAATGATAGCAAATGAAGCAAGTGTGTCAAAAGTTTTTCTGTTCTTTTACAAAAATTAGTAAATTGCAATTGTCTCTCAACAAAGTCTGCGGAGCTTGCGAAAGAACAATACAAAACACTATTTGAATTTGTTGACATCAATAAAAGTGCATTTCAAAATTTTGACCTTAAAAATGATCGACTTGACCTATTTTATTCTGACTTCATTGGGAAAAATACAGCTTATGAAGAAGTTTGGAAGGTTTTTAAATTAGTCTTTGTGCTCTCGCATGGTCAGTCATCAATAGAACGTGGTTTTAGTATAGATAAGTAGCTTCTGGTTCAAAACCTGAAGGAGAAATCACTTGTTGCTTTATGTGTCATTGAGGACCACCTTTCATCTACTGGAGAAACTCCTGAAAGCATCAAAATTATCAAAGAAATGCAGAAAAATGCTAGAAAAGCAAGCAGCTCATACCATGAAGACTTAAGAAAGCAAAAATTAAAAAAAAGAAAGTGACAATGTGGCGTTAAAGCGAAAGATTGTTAATGATGAGTTAAAAGCTGTTCAGGCAAAACGGCGACTACATCAAAGTTAAATTGAGTTGTTATCTAACGAGTCGGACAAACTTGCCATTGATGCAGAAAAGAAAAGTGACTTAACGCTTTTAAAAGAGTCAAATAAGCAAAAAAAGTTATGTAAAGTAAAGCAGAAGGAAATTGACGAGTTAGATTTGATTGCAAAAAAAAGCTGAATAAGAACTAGACAGTATTTTCCATCTGGCATTATTCTTTGATGATATTTTGCTATTATTATATCAAAAATGTCAATAATTAAATGTTTCATTTTTAGAATTGAAAAAAGTCTTATTCAAGTTTATTTTCAACCTACACACACACACACACACACACACACACACACACACACACACACACACACACACACACACACACACACATATATACACAATACTCCTTCCTAACATATGTTGCAAAATATGCCTAGAGGGAAACTAGGTATCTGTGGGTTTAAACCACAGATACCTAGTTTCTAAGGCAAGCGTGCTACCATTGTGCATCTCTATTTTATGCTTTAGGTTTTGTGTTTTATTAGAAAGATAGATTTATTTATGAAAACTTTAGTATTAAGTTTCAAGTGGTAAAAAAAAAGTTTTTTTCCATAAAGTTTTTATTCTATATCTTTTCAAATGGTTTATTTCAAAGAAAAACATGTGACTTTTAAGAAATTATTTCTCCGATTTTTTTATAGGTAAAATCCTGGAAAAGTCCTAGAATTTTTGTGTGAAAGTTCTGGAAAAGTACGAAAATGGTCCTGGAAAGTCCTGGAATTTTGATTTTTTTTTTCTGTGGGAACCCTGTAGAACATTAACACAAATTATCTTTGAAAACTATAAAGTTAGAAATCAGTTAATTAAAAGTTAAAATTGGCAGCTGTTTATCAATAGATTAGAATGGTGTTTCTGAAAATAAATAGCTATGCACTTATAAAATAAAGCATTAATGAATGCACAAAACCTGTTCAAAACTCATTTTTTTAAAAAAATTTCTTTTTTAACTGTTTGAAATTGACCATCCAGCCAGTTAAAGCCAGTTAAAAATAAGGTCACAAAATTAGTTCTAATCAGTACTTTGAGGATAAAAGATGATGACATATATTATTCTTGTATTATTACTCTGCAATGTTTCTAAAACTGATAGTTGCATGCCAAATAAAGATTATTAATTATTTTTGTTAATAATAATTATTTGTTGACTATTTTTTTTCTTGCTAGTTTTTTTATAACAAAAGTCTCTTTAGCCTAGATTTATTTTATATATACTTATCTGGAACTATACTATCTTATATATTATATATACTTATATATTATATATACTTATCTGGAAACTTCTGTACTGTTGTTGATTTTCTGAGATTCAAGTTGTCTGCAATGAATTCTTCCAATTCTCTAGTACACAAATCAGCTGCAATGGGAGAAAGGTGAACATCTGAAATGTGTCTTAGAAATCCATTGATTTCTACTGAAACTCCTCGTTCTGCATCTGAGACTCTTCCTCTATTCTATTTGCTTGTACAGGGTGGCCCAAAAGTCGCGCTACCATTTAAAAACTGAATAACTTTTTTATTTCTTTATGGAATAATGTTTCTGTATATGACAATATAAATTCTTTTGGTATAATTATGGAAGATGGCGTCACGCAAATGACCTCCATTTGCTTCTTCGCAAGCGCGCGCCCTTTCCAGGGTATTTCCCATGACATGGATCAGCGTGTCCGGTTCCAGTGCTCGAATTTCTGTTTCAATGTTTTCCTTCAGCTCCTGGATATTGCGGGGTTTAGTACTGTAAACACGATTCTTTAGGTAGCCCCTAAGAAAAAAATCTGGAACGGTTAGATCGGGTGAATTCGCTGGCCAGTTGAAATCGGCACTTCTTGAAATTAATCGTTCTCCAAACATGTCTCGTGGTATGGGCAGTTGCTCCAACTTGCTGCCATCAAACCTCCAGTGTGTCCTGAACAGCTGGACGGACAAATTTCTCTAACATTTCGCGGTATCGGGCCCCAGTCATCGTTACTGCATTGCCTTTCTTATCCTCGAAGAAGTATGGGCCAATTATTTTTTCTGAAGTTACACCACACCAAACCGTGACTCTGAGTGGGTGCAGTTGACG